GACCACTAAGAATATTTAGCCAGTGTTGGCTAAGATTGTCTTGTCAGTATAAAATTGCAACATTGTGCCAATACTTGAAATCCATATCTGACCAATCTCAGAAGTAAGTATCGTGCCGAGCTTAAGAGCCAGCGTTGGCTCGATCTAATCATTAAGCATATTCGCTCAGTACTGGCTACTACTGTTGTACCAATATCGAGCCTCGTTTGCCGATATTGACCCAATACTGGGCCGTTCGTCAATTCCTACAAGGGTAGTGAGAAGACAGTCCACTAACGCGAGTCATTAAATCCGTAATAAGACACGTGCTTAATTAAATCTTCTTACCATACGAAAACACTAATTCAACAGTGCGTGTGCATTATTTACAATGTTCACGCATGCTTATCGCGCCATTCAGTTCTTCCCGAACAAGAAAAGTATTGATTTATATTAAAACAAGTATCGAATATTCCACGGATATTATACCTATGAACGCATACAACTTGTAAATACATTACGACATATACAAGTAACGTAATACGTACTATGTTTTCGCAAAAATGTCAGAAATGCGGTCATTTCAATCGCGACGGCTTGACGAAAAGAAACGGGCATACCGGCGGGCGAATTACGTTTAAAAGCGAATCCAATCGCGCGTAGCGCGCCGTTTAAACAAATAATTATACCCTGGGAATTCCAATTAAGTCGATAATCCAGCGCTCGTAACCGACGCAATCGCGTTAGCGGAACGCCGTGCACAGCGGTCGGCCACTGTCAACGAAGAGAAAGAAAGAGAGACGTAGAGAAAATGACAGGAGGCCTAAGGCGCCAAGTGCATCGGCCACACTTGCGTCCCGCGGCGCACACGGAATACCGGATCAAAGCGAATGATTCGAGAAAGGAAAGAGAAAAAGAGAGAGAAGAGAAAAAACAAGGAAACGTGAATGCAGGGCGAAAAATAAAACCGTCGCGAAATTCTACGCGCACGCCGCTACCGGATACGCATCTCGATGAAGAGACCCGTTAAGGGTCTTTCACACTGCACGAATCATTCCTTTCGGCTCAAAAGCATTGCCCAAGGCACACGTCCGAGATCATGATTCTCATGCGTTTTGCCGCTCCACTCGCGCGGATATTTTTTTTTATGATTTGCTTGCGTAAAGAACGGCTTTGATCGTTAACTTTTTATTTGTTCTGCAAGCGAATCTCGGCTAATGATTTTCTTGTTCAAGCAAGAATTTGCTTTGGTACACGTGCTACTCACGTGAAGTAAATAATTGTTACATATATGCATATAAAAAAATGTATGTCCTGTATCTTGTCTCGCTATTGTTTCCCGAGCAAATACTAATTATTGACATCTCGAAGTAATTGGATGCTTAACACTTGGAAAACTTCATAACGTCGTATATATCCCAACTTCCCATTTTCCCACCGTGCTTCTGTTCTGCGCGAGTGGATTCGGGTAAAGTTTTATCGTTTGCGCAGAAAGTTCGGCCTTGGTTCTCGGGCTTGTTCTCAATTTTGTTGCTCGTATCGTACCAGCTAGGTTCGCGCCTTTTTATCGTTAACATTGTTGCTCAACTTCACCCTCAACGAGTTAAATAAACTTCTTGCCGTTGTCGTTCGCTCGATTTCTTTTTGCGTATTTTTTTCTTTTAGTCCGATGTTGATTCTGTTTTCAGAAGCTTTTTCGCGTCGTTAATGGCGACCTAATGGAGTTCCTCAACGTGTCGGAAAATCTTTTTTCGCAAAGCGCATAAAATATTTCTACGTTTTATTTATAATAATTCATTATTTTTAAATATTTGTCGTGTAAAACGACATAGCGTGTCTGTGTAATATTTCTACCTTATGTGCATACTTTCTTTCTCTTTTCTTTGAAAGCGTTTTGCCATTTCACCGCTAATCCACGTTGTGTCACGCTTGAGTAATTCGCACGCCTTGGATGACGCAATCCTTGCATCAGTAGGTTGGCCTCGTGTCACGAGGTCACCGGAGAAAAAAGACTCCGTTGAGGTTGCGCCCCAAGAAAGCGACCGAAACGCCGGCGGGGATCGAGTAATCATGGCTTAGTCCGTAGACTTGCAGAAATCTCTGTTGCGAACTTGGCAACTGCGACTATAGATGCAAATGGGTTCTCGGGAGTTATATTCCTAACAAAGCTGCCATGTCGCGCTCTATTGTCGAGCTTAGATTGTAATATCAACTAAAATAAAAGACATTGCATTTGCGGAAATTGTTTGCATCAATATCCGGTCGTTAAAACGTTACATAACAAAAAAAAATACATTACAAAAAGCATTTATAACACAAAAGATCACTCTTTGCGTATGGATTTTTCTTTTTAACTTGCGCGTCTTAAAATTTTTCATAAGAACTCGAATGAAAAACCGCGTCTCATTTTTGCACCATTACTTCCGCGCGATGTGAAACGACCGAGTTATAAACACTTCACTTTAGACCATAGACATTCCTAATGTCTTAGAAATTGCCCGAGCAATTAGTACTAAATGGCGTGATGCGTTGTTAGAAAGAGCAGTATACGGAATGGACGATTCTTAACTCTCTCGTTGCGAATCGTATATATATATATATATATACTCGAGAAATAAGTCAGTCAACAATTTATGACCGACGGTTGTTTCTCTAACAAGCTCCTCCTCGATTTCCCCGGGCTCGCGGAATGATGAGCGCTCACACGGGTGCTCGAAGATATTCTTATACAAGAAAAATATCAACGAGAGAGTTTATTCGCGGCTTAACTTATTACGCTCTCCCGTTGCCATTAAAAAGGAGGATGTAATTTTGCTTCAAGAGAGAAGAAAAACAGCCTAAACAAGTTATCACTTAATAATGTAATAAAGTACAAACAAAGTTGTTGCCCGATAATGTGATAGCGCATGTTGTAGAATAACGGTTCCATTAAATTATTATTTATATTTATCCATAAAATTATTATTTATATTTTGTAAAACTGAGAAAACACAAAAGAGAGATTACCCATGTAGGAATTGCCGACGGACTTCCAGGAATACTAATAGGCCAACAATGGCCCAACCTTTATAGCCGATACTCGATATTGACAATTGGTCCAGTATTGTCCCATTTTTGTATTTTATAACAGCCCAATATTGGCCCGTTTG